GCTGCCGCTGCTGTCGATGCCGCTGTTGACTCGCGGCGCACACTCGCATAAGAGCGCTCGCGCGAGAGCACTTGCCACTTCCGAGAGCGAGCGCGACTCGCAATCGTATCGCGTGCACGCACAACACATGCACGCACGCATGCACGCACGTATTCCTACTTATTACGCGGTTGTTATTTTCCCGTAATCGTTGTTGTGCGTACACCGAGCGCGTACACCGTACGCCGTTCTCACCATCACCTGGAGAAAACGTCGCTCCGAGTCGCACGCCGCTCGCGTTTCCTCCGCCGATCGAATAACGCCACGCGAAACGGGTCGTTGTCCGATAGCTAAGTAGGGCGAGTGAGATTTTACAGATACCGGGATGGTGTTATTTCGCACCGGGCGAGATTCGAGCGGCGATTCTTCAGATACACCTTGTCGTGCGACGTCGCCGCCGCGAAAGGCGCGCCGCCATTTTCGTACCGACAGGCCCGGCCTATTGCGAAATCTCTCGAACGAGCACGCTGAGAAACACGCTCGCGAAAATCGAAGGATTTCACTAATAACCCATGAGGATATCACCGGTAACTGCACGTCAACGGACTCGACTTTGCGAAAACGACATTTCGCCATGCACCGTTATCGTCATCCTTGTCGTCGTTGTCGTCGTCGTCGTCGTCGTCGTCGTCGTCGGCACTTCGCGCAACCTCGACACAATTGTCACGCGGCTCGCTCGCTAGAGCGACTTTTCGCGCTGATCATCGAACAGCGACTCGTCTTACCGCTACTGCCGCCGCTACTGCCGTTGTTAAAGCCGATAACGTTTCGTGAAACACGTCACTCTCTTCTTCAGATTCGTATATAGCTGCATATACATGCCACTCTATTTTTGGAATATTGCGAACATATTAAAAAAAAAATCAAACTGTATACGATACGAGAGTATCGAATCAATTTCGGCTGAATTAATTTAAGCAAATATAATTTAAGCAAATATTTTCTGCCTTTGTATACATTTGTGAATTAGTAATGCTCCGATTAGAAGTTAAAATGTAACAAATTTAAATCAATTTTTATTGAATTAAATTTAAGCGAATAAAATTTAAACAAACATTTTCTGCCTTTATGTATACTTGTTTAAATTGACACTACTCCGAATAGTATAGCATGCTCCGAAAAAAAAAATGGAATCGGAGTATTTGCAGCTTTTGTTGTTTTTTCATACACGATGTATTTTTGTAAACTAAAATAATGAAAAAATCAAAATAATTAGGAATCTAGATAAAAACATTTCTTATATATTTATATATTTATATTTTATAAGAAAAATAAAGAAAATAAAGAAAAAATATAAAATAAATATATCCATCAAGCTATCTGCATTAAAAAATTAAAAAGATAAAGAAAAGAGAAAGAATATATTAAAATCATAATTTTTGTTGAAAATATGAAAAATATAGTAATATTATCATGTTGTATTATTATAATTTTCAAAATGCAAAAAATTTACTTCTACGCTAGAATTAATATTCTATTTTAATATCAAAATTATTTAAATTTACTTTATATTTTTTAATATATTTTATAAATATAAGATCTTGTAATTGTTATTCTGTTATGTTTATATGCGGTATTAACAGGGATTTACGAAAAATGGATACACTACTGTTAAAGAATTTGCGCATGCGCCTCTTTTGTAGTACTTTCCATTAGCTTCGAAATTTCGCAATTTAAAATGTAAAACAATTTGAATAATAGTTTATTGCAA